TTTGCCAAAAAAAAACCTCCCCCCTTGGGGTTTTATATTTTTAAAAAAAAAAAAAAAAAAAAAAAAAAAGGTAGAACCAGCAAATTAAAATAAATAAATATTAAACAAATCCAGATTTTAGTTTTTTTTGTGTCTTATTTTTCCATTGAATTAATTCTGCTTTGAATTTCCACAACAGAATGATCCAGTTATCAGTAACCTTTATTGTTTCTTTGTCATCACTAAATTGAAAACTGTTTTTTTGTTTTTGCAATTTTCCAAAAACATCAACCTCCCATAGAAGAAAATGTATCAATTGTCTCTTCACATGTTTCATATTTTTCTTTGTTTTAAAACCAAAATGATGGTTATTTTAAAAGTTGATTTCCTGCAGTAGATAAAACTTTTTAAGTTGTCTTTTCACAAAAGATTTTGTAACAATTCAGATCTAAACGAGTTTTGTGTAGCTTGAGAGCAAAGACGACTCTTTGGTTTGTGAAGGTTGCAGACCCAACGCATACAGCATTCATGTTTTGTTTTGTTTTTTTCATCCAGACGGCTTCCCCGCCCCCCTGCAATGGCACGGCGCCCCCCTAGGGGGCGCGCCCCACAGTTTGGGAACCTCCGGTGTAGGGGATGTGATTCTTGCCCGTTATGATTCATGCAAGAGATTGTTTGAACTTCCTGCATCTCTCTACTTCTGCTCTACATCCACAAAGCCTCCCTTTCAACTCCTCAGGGATTTGGGATCATCATTCAGGTATTTTTTGAGATGCTAATAAGTTGCTCTCAGTTGTAAAAACATCAACTTGTTGCCACGGTTATGAAGTTGGTTCGTTTTGATTGAGCAAATTATTCTGTACCTGACCTAGACTTAAGAGATGTTTGAAAACTTCCATCACTTAAGCGACTTACCTGTAAATTCGAAACTGCTCTTTGTCATCAGAAGACCAGGAGGCGTATTCCTCTTGGGAGGGATAGTGGGATTTGAGCAGCAACACGTCCACCAGCTGGAAGTAAACCGGTTTGTAGACCTGCAGGTAAACTGCCTGCTTCTCTTCCTCAAAAGATAAAATGTCATCCTGAATGTTCACCACATAGTAAAAAAGAGAGGAAAATAACTCTATAAAGAACCAATATAATTTGAACTTGGCCAACTTTTTGTTCGCTACGCTAAAAATCTGAGCAGCAGTGAGTGTTTGTATGCCTGCTCCGTTTCCGTACCTGCAGCGTGTACCAGAAGGTGAGTGTCAGGGAGCTCGTGGTCTCATTAACCGGGTAGTGTCCAGGGATCCCCGTACAGAACAGAATCATGTTCACCAAAGCCAGATACTCCTGCCAGTGGTCCAGTTGTTCCAGCAAAACCCTACCAGACACAAGCACATGAAAACACCTGTGGCAAACGTGGACGTTTTAGAGTGTGTGGATACCTTGAGTGCGTTTCCCCCAAAGCGACGGCAATGCGACAGATACCGTGGGTGGTCTCCATGTCCCCGTCCTGAACTGCTGTCTTCAACTGGTCGTAAAGGCCCAGCACCATAGGCATCAGGCTCAGCAGAACGTTAGCGAACCTCCACACAAGAAATGAAATGACACTTAAAGACGCTTCACAACAAAACCAGCCATTCCCTTTCACATGCTGATGATAGTAGGCTACTGGGTTGTCGCCATAGCTGCCCCGTGGCTCACTGACAGAAAAGAGGATGCTATGTGGCGCCATTGGCTCTTCTGACCAACGCTAGAGGAATGGTGGGTGAAGTGTCTTGCCCAAGGACACAACAGTAGAGAAGGATGGGGTGAGGGCTTGAACCGGTGACCCACTGACAGCAGGACGATCTCCTACTACTGTCGCCATCATCGTCCGCAAAAGTTACGGGTCACACCACTGGCTGTGTTTTCATTAAATAATAAATTAAATTAAAATCACATGTGAATAAGCTTGTTCACGTGAGAAGTCATTAAAAATCATGGCAGTGACTGATGTAAACAGCTACGTAAGATATATTCATAATTCCACCATGGCGATCATCCTATATGGACCACTAGAGGAGCAACAAGCCCCTTATACTTTGAAGCAGCTACTTATACTGTCTTTTGTGGAAATTGTAGTTGATTTTTCAGAAGAGCTACGGATTCCAAACGTTCAAATGACACGCAACTTTTTATGAACCATGAATATACTGCAAAAGCATATTCGCAGTTCATAAAAATATGCTGCGAGAGCTCTGGTGGAGGCAGCAGCACATTGTCTGAAAACCCCACCCAAAAGCAAACCATCATCATCCTCCATCTTCTTCATTGTTCAAAATCCGGCTTTTGATCACATGATTCGTGTGATGTGAAAAAGTGTTTCCAGTGCAGTTTTGCTATTTCGATATGGCTGAAAAAATCACCTCAGCTACTGAGATCTGACGGCCACCAAAGGTCCAGCTTGGTGCTCACCTCTGACAATCCGGTTGTGTGATGGCAGTAACTATCGTCTCCACTGCGGTGTCGAACAACCCTGGGTCGGACAACGCCGCAAAACAGTCCTGGACCAATTCCTGGCTTTCCCCCAGCGGCACATCCAGCCCCACCCAGCTGGAGAGGCAGCGGAGAACTTTCTCCTTCACCTGAACGGACGAATCCTGACTTTGTAGGAGCTGTCGGAGCATGCCACACACCACGGCCCACTCCCCGGCCAGGGCTTCCCTCAGCTGGGTGCGACGGGCTCGGGCCAGACGGCCGCTTTGAAACTCCTCTGGAAGTACGGTGAGGAGCTCCAGGAGAGCAAGGCAATGTGCATGGGGGTCCTGAGAAGCCTTGGCACCAGGATTGTCTTGAGAGTCCGGTTTCTGAGGTTGGAATGCTCTCACCATGTCTGCCACCGGCTCAGACCACGCCTGGGGGATGAGGTTAAGAGCCATCGAGGCCAGCGCCACACACAGTCGAGTGAGCACCATTTTAGGACCAGAGGAGAAGCATAAGATGTGGGAAAGAAGTTGCATCCTAAGGTCCTCATGCTGGTCTGCGGGAAGGTCGCCCCAGTGACGGCAGATCTTGATGTGGAGAGTGCTGGCACCGAAAAACTGAACCTCCGGGATCTACGAAGAGACACATTTGAAAATAATTTAATCAAAACTCAACATATGACCAACTTTCTGCAGGATGATGAACACTCCCCAGCATTCTTGCTTTTAGCATGTCCATCTTAACTTCTTTTCCTAATCAGTTGTTAAAGGCTTACAGAATCCCAAAGATAGAGATCAGAAATTTGTTACTGATTTCAATTTAAAACACAAAACAGAACAAACCTGATGTACTTTGCGTTTACTGAAAGTCTCAGTCTTTCTCTCACTCTCACAACCTGAACAAACCAGAGATGTCCATGAAAGTTTTTTTTTGTTGTTGTTTTGTTAGTTCTCTGTTATAAATACAACAAATGCACACTGAAATCAGAATTGCATCTATAAAAAGCAAAAGTTTCCAAGTAACCCTGAGTTCAGTTGGGCTCCCATGCATTTGAATCACAGAAAGTTTTCGGGTTAAGTTATTCCTTAGCATTTCTGACTGTGTGTATCTCTTTAAATGGTCTGTTTCATTGCTGAGACTTTAACGCTGTAATTTTGATTAATCACATAGATTTTTAACATTTATTTTTGTACGCAATTAATCCGTTTTTGTTCTGATCAGAACATTTGAATTTCCGTGTTTCCGGTACGCCCGTAAATGTGACACACAAGCTTAATCTTCAAACAACAGCAACGGGTGACAAAGTCGCTTCTCTCGACCCACTGGGAGTTCATTTTTGTTTCAAAATATGATCTGATGGGACGCTGGAAAAGACTTTTGTTGTGTTCAGGCTAAAAGCAGTTACCCTATAAGTGAAGCTATTCAAACCTAAAGTAGCATCTCAAAGCTAAACATCCCCAATGCTAATGTCAGCAACCACAGTCCACAAGAAGTTCTATGAATGATCAGAGCTTCTTGAAACACCTGAAAGCTGAACGGATAGAATAACACTTTGCACCAATCTGGATGGTTGTAGTGACAGATTAAAAATAATAAATATCTTTGTTGTTGTCTATTAATAATTCAGCAGCAAAATGGCTTTTGAATTGAAAATGTTTCTTAACTCATTTAAGTGAGTTATGAATATGGTGATAGTGCAAATGGATTGACTTCAAATTGCATTGCTAATAGTAGTTAGCGCCACATCAGTTAGCAAATCCCACAGTTTCTTTTTTTTTTTAACTTGCAACATTAACGAGGTCAATCCAGGTGTGACACCATTTCCAGATGCACACCAGAAATTCAGACTTCATTTTAACCTCAGATGCTAAATATAGGTAACTTTAAGTCGTCCTCCTTTGGTAGAAACTTCCTCACTGAAGGGTGTTGTTTAGCGTGCCCTTGAGGCTTACATATGGTGAATTCACTGGACTCAAAAAAAGCTAAGGAATTTTGATACTAACCGACCAATCACCAGTCAGAGCTGGTGAAGGTGAAAATCGGCTGATTCCGTTAAATCGGTGCATCTTTCAGAATAATAATAAAGACAGAGGAGTAGTGGTAGAATATGGAAAGCAGAACCTTGTCAGGGCTGAGCAGGGCCCAGCAGAACTGCCATGCCTGTGCTGAGGCCTGGGCTTGGGTCAACCACTTCTGAGCTACGTTCTTACGCTCCATGTCCGGGTCGAAGTACAGCTGGTAGAGAGCCTGGAGAGGGACGAGCCGGCAGACACAGAGACAAACGCTGGATCAAAATAAGTCAAGCAGGACATCAACAAAAACAACTACAGGAGGTATTTAACTGGCATGAAGTAAATTTAAAAAAATAAAAATAAAAATCATATTAGCATTTATCAACAATCATGCATGCTGGATGACCAATTTCTTAGATAGTAAAAATGTGTTGTCATAGGAACTAATCCGAAACACATGCTGCTGGTTATTATTAGGACAGCATATGCTTAAAGCTGGAATCAAGTTACAACTGGAGCAGCTTCCAAAACGCTAAACTACAAAAACTAAACCCGTTTTTTTCCCCCTTAACTGATGTTTTATTTTTATTTTATTCCAATGCTAAACTGACTAATTAAAACGACAAGAACACACAATTATATATTCGTTAAAACAAATATGTCAAGTTTAGGTCACATTGTGCATTTAAGACTCTCTAACACGCTTTCCGCAGACTTATTTAAAGTAACTCACCGTCTCAATGTTCTCCTGTGTGAACTCCAACTCCACCGGGTTCTGTCCCGGGATGGGTGCGGACTCCATCTGGCACAGATTTAATAAAATGTATTTTTCTTACTAATTATCCTCACCTAATTGAAACTAGAAAGTCTCCTAAAGTCAGGTAAACGCCTCAGCCCTCCACACAGTCCACGCGCAAGACTAATTTTCTCAGGTGTGACGACATGCTGGCTTCTGGGAACAACAACAACAACAACAACAACAAAAAGCCAGAGAAGAAGAAAATAAATAGACAAGCTGCAAAAATATTCTAGAAACTAAAGTGCTGCAGGTCGACCTGCGCAAAGCTTCCAGTCGTTCACCCTTTACGAGGCGCTCCTGACGCAAACAGCTGCGCCTCTGACGCACCGACGTCTGATTGGAGCAGAGCGGCACGAGCCACCTCAGTCGGATACGGTGCAAGAATCTTCAAACGTAAAGTGATCGTGGATGGATGAGAGCGGAATTTTCAGGAAGGGACCGCAGTATGTATGGATGTTATTTTTAAAATTTTATTTATTTATTTATTTATTTTAAATGAGTCTTTTTCTTTTCCAACGCACCCACGCAGCCTGCAGGCCACGCAGCCCCACCCGCGTGCTCCTCTTCTGCCCGACTCCCTCAGGATATTTTTAGCGCTTGGTGATGTGCCCTGTCAAATCACGTAACGGAAACAAACATCAGAGAGAAGGAGAGAGAGAGAGGAGAGGGCAGAGCTGCTGAGGAGAGGGGGTTTAACTGCGATCTGCACAGAAAAAAAGGCAGAGGAAGCCCGATGAGATGAGATTTGAGATTCATTTGGTGTGCTTCTGGTTGCTGTTGGTTACCGGATCGCCTCAGACTGGAGGTAGGATGATGTTCTCATCCGTCAATATAAAATCCAGACTATATGCTTGTGTGTCCGTCTTGACTTAACTGACAAATAATCTTTCTTTGATTTTGAGCTTTTTCATAAATTTTTCCACATAGAACCACAAATTCGGTGTATTTTATTGCGGTTTTATTCTGTGGAGCATCATAATGAAGTAGATTTTGGTGTAGAAAATAAAGAAGTAAGCTGTGCATTGGTATTCAGACTCCATCAGTTAGTTACATTTAAAGCTGGGTAGATTTTCTTTCTTTTTTTCTTTTGCCTGTTGCATCTTGTTGTTGCTCGATCTCATTCAGATTGGACAGAAAGCATCTCTGAACATCAATTTTCAGGTACGGTCATAGATTCTCGATTGGGTATAGGTCTGGGCTTTGATTAGACCAGAGCTGCCCAAACTTTTTTTTTACATGGACCAAAATCATCAACTCAAGGGTACTGTTGGGTCATTTTTTTTGTTCTTGCTCAACAATAAACTAAGCATAGAATACTTTAATTAAACAAAGCAAATAGTCAGATTTTTTTGGTAGGAATGTGTTAATCATTAAGATCAAAATCCTCCAAAAAGCTTTTATGTGTTTTCTTTATTGAAAGCGACGCAAAACACTTTACTAATTTATTTTGGGTTCTTGACTGAAAAGAACTAAAAATGATTTGATCTTTTCTCAGCAATAAAAACATTCCTTAAGTGACCCTTTATTTGAGAAGAACCACACATTTGGTGGCTCTTTTAATAGTTTTAATAGTTTTGTACTAACTGAATAAAAAACTGCATCAACCTGCAGCGGTGAGACAAATTTATATAATTCAGGGGCCACAAAAAAATAAATTCAGGGGCCACAAATGGCCGCACTTTGGACTCCATTCTCACACATAAATTTGCTTTCAGTAGCTCTGACTGTGTATTTTAGGGTTGTTGCCTTAATGGAAATAAAGACGTTTTCAGCCTCTTAACAGGTTTTCTTCAGTGTTGTCTTTCCATCTTCCTCCATCTTCCCATTAAATCATTAGGCTAATCATAAGCCCTCCATGTGCAATTTAAATGAGGCCAGTGTTCTACAGCAACAGTCCTTCCTTCACATCTATTGTTTGTTGCAATTGTGCTGCTAGCGACATTAGCATGCTAACATTGAAAGTGAAGCCTGTAATCTGAGATGGAGTCGGGGCATTTTATCAGTTCTGACACTGCACACCCTACCTTGACGGAACATCCACGTGGAAAGACAAACATTTTCCGCTTGTGAACAGTCTTTTTTTATTAATGAATTGCGAGGGGTCAAAAGACTTCCCCTATCCCTTCCTGTCTTAATGAGCATCGCTTCTCTGATTTCACTGCCGAAACCTAAAGATCGGCAAAGACGATTTTTATGCAACTGACATGTATGCTTTGTTTTTCATTAAAACATTTTTTTTTAAAAGCCATCCTCGTCAGTGTAATTTGTCAGTTTTTTGTGTGACGTCACGCGAGATCAAGCTCCCACAGCTGCCCACTCATCAGCGATGACTAAAGTTAGTTTTACCAAGTTGTCAACATAACGTGTTGAATCTTAAGTGCTTTCCTACTAATTGTCAACACGACCACAACTAGGTATCAAAGTCCAAAGATATTGCAGGAAAAGATTTTAATTAAAAAAAGAAAACAGCAAGGGAGAGGGTTGTTATGCTAGCCTGACTTTGACAACCTCATCATGTAGGTATGCTGAAGAATTTGATGTGGTTTGGTTAAGTTTAATATAAAAAAAGGGAAGAAGAAGGTGACCCACACACCAATCCGCTGACATATCATCAGTATAGCAGATGATATGTCATCATCCGCTAATTAGCTCATTTAAATTAATTTAAAAAGAATTCAGCTATTAGCAAATCAACAATGATCACTTATTAATAATTGCAAAATAAACAAAAAGCCTGAAAACTTAGTACTTTTGTGGACTGAATGCATATTCCAATAATTATGTTGTTATTTTACAGGTCAGAGCCATGCTTTGCCTACTTCCTTTACCTCAACTCCGTTCCCTGCTCCTGCAGAGGGCCCGGTGAACGAGTTTCCACCGCAGACACAATATCCTGCAGGCAGGAATGAAACTTTGGGTGACCTCCCAGCCCCTGCTGCCACCGCTGCCCCGATGGAAAGCATAGTCCGATCAGAGACATCAGCAGATGCAGGACACCCGCACGTCTCAAGTTCCACTAAAGCTACATCTCAGTTCACAAATGCACCCACTGTCACAACTCCATCTCTCTCAGGTAGCCGTCTTTACTTGCTTCTCTCGCTGCAGTGCTTCACAAATCAATGCCCCTTAAGTGGCAAACGTTAGAGCATGTAACTGTGTATTTATGCAATTGACCAACACGAAACTGGGGCAGAATTTGGAAATGTAAGGAAAAAAAATAGGAGTTAGCTACTGGTTTCTATATATTTCACAATATGTTATTACTTATTCTAGATTTTTTAAAATGTATTTTCATTATTTTTTTTCTGGGTTCTCCCGTAGCCAAGATTAGGCAAGAAGAAAACCTTATTGAAAAAAAAAAGCTAAAAGAAATTCTGACAACGAATCAGAGCCAGAAGTCGGTCCTTAACGCTGTCAATCACCCTTGTGTACTTGCTGCTAAATGAACTATTGGTGAAGAAACTACTCACCGTTCCAGGAAAACTGTTTATCCGCCATCTTTGTGGACACGCTAACTAGCCTTGGCATTGATGGCAGGTGGAAGGAAGAACAGCACATTCACAAGGGGGATTGACAGCGTTAAGACCCTCTTCCTGTCTCTGATTGGTTGTTTCTAATTAGCATCAAAAGAAGGCAGAGAACCGTAATTTTTTTCATTTCCTTTCTTCTTTCTTCATTTTTCTTTCTCTTTTGTCTTAACAAACTCATGACTTAGTGACAGTTTTAACAAAAGTCCATTTATTAGGTTGTCATATTAAACAAATGTAAATAAAGTAAGCTAATTTGATTACATTTGACAAGTTAACCCATTTTTGTCTTAAGTTGGAGCTCCAGTCTCTTTTTTTAGTGTAACTATGGTGGTAAACTAACATTACACATTTCACTGAACGCCCCATTCCTACGGAGAACAGGATTGTCTTCCTGCTAATGGGAGCGTTGGGAACATGAGGGAATACAGGCAATACTAAACATTTATCATCTACTAACCCCGACATATCCAAAGCTGCCAGAGACACACCCTAAAACACTAATTGCTGGAAGCAAAGCAAAATGTGATTTGACAGTATTTTTTGAACAGCACCTGGCTACAAATGCAAATCTGAAAATCCAGTTTCCTTCCACTTTACCATTGTTCCCTGCTCGGTGTTGATCTGTCGTCTAAAATCCTAACAAACTGAGATGCAGTTTGTGGTTGCGATGCCACAAAATGCTCACTACTTTGCGATATCACCCCAATGCCTTTTTTTTTTTTTTTTTTTGCAAGGTTCTGCAAACTGTGGCCGATTATTTTCATCTGCACTAAGGTGACAGCTTTGTTTATTTCTGGCCTTCTGGGTCTGCAATTTCTCCATTTTAGTGTGTTTACTTTGTCCAGACTAAAGCCTTAAAATATAGCAACCCTCACAATAAAACGTTGCCTGTTTGCAAACGCAGGCCATTTTCCCAGACTCGGTTTCCCTGCCAGCGGCGTTACGGGAACACAGTCCTGCCCTGACCTCCACTTGTGTCGTAGAGTTATTGAAGAGATTCCCTTTTTCCAGATTGGGTAAATATAAATATAACCCCCTCAGCTGATGCTGGGTAACTATTTTAGGAGAAATAACCAAAAGCGAGAGTACATCCAATCTCACTCGTTTTTTGGTACGTTTCTTTCTTCTTTTTTTTTTATTGGTTATGCAACATGAAGCCAAACTCAAATAACAAGCTCTTAAAAAATATGTTAATTGTTAAACAAGCCTTTCTAATTAACTTCAATTACAGTTTGAAGAAAAAAGAAAGTACAACCTTTTTGAATTCCAGCATCTTATGTAGAATAGACCTGGCCTTAATCAGATCTGAAATGATTTATTATTTGTCATAATGTGTATAGAGATTTGGGGAAACAACAATAGAACCAACATCTGCCCGTTTTATACTCTGCAATAAAACAACAATTATTTGAATTAATCGTGATTAGTCGATTAGTTGAACAATTGTCAACTAATTGAGTAATCGATTAATTTTTTTAAAAATTTTTAAAAAATTATTTTTTTAAAAATTTAAAAAAAAAAATAGTTTTAGCATTTAAGAAAAAAAAACTTTGGTCTATAAATATGTTCAACCCAGAATTCCTCATGTGGCATAACTTTAGCTTTACTAAAAAAAATTCTAGTAGGCACCTTTTTCTGTTCATTTATTAATCAGTTAATCCAAAAAGCACCAACAAGTTGACCTCTCAAAAAAGAAAAATAAGCTTTGTAGTAGAGGTAGGAATTTATCATATCGTGTATCATTTATCGTGATA